GGAATATGACGACATGGAGCCGCAGTTGTACTGTTAAACTAATGGCTTTAATAGTTTCAAATTATTGGTCCCATATAGGAATATGACGACATGGAGCCGCAGTTGTACTGTTAAACTAATGGCTTTAATAGTTTCAAATTATTGGTCCCATATAGTAAAAGTTTAGAGAGGACTCAGTAGTTCGTGTTTGAGTAATTTTTCGAAAAGACTTTGCTACGGCGGTTGGTAAAGTAAAGTGGGCTTATTTGCTTTGTTGTTTATTTGCTTTTATAAAATTTTTGATATATAACGCGCGCTCTGATTGGCTGACGACCGTGTTTATATCAGAGAACAGAGACACGGCTTACCGGCAAAATTTTCTTTTCGCTCGAAAAATTTTATAAAAGAAATATAAAACGGCCGCTTGTGTCTCTGTCCTCTGTTATAAACACTACTCGCTACGCTCGTGTTCCTAAGCTTGCTTCTCTCGTGTTTTTCAACTCCCACCGTGTTTATATCAGAGGACAGAGACACGCGCGCCGTTTTATATTTCTTAAATTTATTTTATTTACTAAGTACAGCGTGACCCTCACAAACGAGGATTATTGACTGGGTTGTTTTCATCACCGTTTTTGAAATGAAAAAGATGGTGAACAACCAACGTGCAAACCGCATATTTCATRTTTAAGATATTACTTATATACGTACAGTTCGTCTGAGCATGTTTCTGGTTTCTCCATCCTGTGTCCACGACGAACCATATTATATACATCGCTAGTTGACAACGTAGGGTAAGGAACACCACCTGCACAGCACGAATAAGACCGATTTAGACGGCACAACTTTTGCCTACAACCATCGCATGCAACCTGCATAAGTCATCCTTACAATATGATTACAACTGTCGTAGGGCTATTAAGCAATTGTTTTTAAATCCCTACGACAAYTGTAGCTATGTTGTAAGGACGACTTACGCAGTTTGCATGCGATGGTTGTAAGCAAAAGTTGCGCCGTCTACATCGGCCTATAGAATGTTTTAGTTTTATAATCATTATAATTCATGGTGATCAGTAAATTCTTGATTCTCAATTTGTAACATAACATGTCTTCGTCATTGACGACAGAGAACAAAATTTTTTGTTCAGGCGACTGTTTAAGGTTATCATGCACAGCTAAACTCACCCAAGGTAGCTATTTCCCAGAGCAGAATTCCGTATGACCATCTGTGAACAGAACATTCATTCAAATCAACATCGTTAAAAGTCAACTTCATTTTAGATTTAGGCACGAAATAAAAACAGATAACTTCCTCTCATTCCTGGTTCTGAGAAGAGCAAGATTTGCAAGCCACTGCTTTCGAGCTTTAGGCCTGATTATTTCTTATCTTCTATTATGGAGGCTACTTTGTGAAGAATATAGGAAGCATGTACTTCTGATATATTCTGCAGCCGAGGGACACCGATCTCATTTTCAACGAACTTGCCTATGGATTGGTAGACGAAACATTATACAACCTCTATAGCAGTCATGGGCAGTCCAATTATCCAAGGACGGCAAGGCGTTAAACGGCAGGYGTTATTATAAAACTCTAATGTTGTGTACAATTTTTAAAAGAAATATATGYGATACCTGAATACATATGTGACAATACTCCGATTTCGAGTTCTGGTTTGCTCTGTGTTAGCCTCAAAACCAAGTAACATATTCTTTTGTTTCATTGATAGCCCGAGAAAACGCATGGAATTTTAAAAGAAAGACAATAAATTTGATTTGAAATCTCACACTTTTATTCTCACAATTAAGAATATTTGCGCACAAATGAGGCTAACACAGAGCATTGGAGAATTCGAAACTGGATTATTCTCGAGCTGATTTAAAAAGGCGCGGATCCAGGTGAGGTAAAATCCCGGGGGGGAGGGGTACTCCCCTATATTCGCTATAGGGGACTTGCCGCCAACCAGTGTATAGTTTTCAGCGATTTTAGTCTGAAACAGGGTATTGTTTTTAGCGATTTTACTCTGGAACAGGGTATCGATTTCAACGAATTTTGTCTGGAACAGGGTCAGGGTTTAATTCCGGAATAATTGATGCTGGGTAAAAATTCACGGGGTAAAAATTCGGTCTACACGCAAGCTAGTGCTAGATTTTACTCTGGAACAGGGTATCGTTTTCAGCGATTTTACTCTGGAACAGTGTATAGTTTTCAGCGATTTCACTCTGGAACAGGGTCAGGGTTTTGAGGTCCCAGCGGCACACCCACACTCAAGTCGGGGGGAGTACAGAGTTTTTTAGCTTTCAAACATCAAATAAACTGTCAAATAAACTGACCAATAAGAGCTCTTCATGCAGATAACAGATCATTTTACTCCGATCTGTGATTGGCTCGCTAAAATACAGYATGAAAGTGAGATTGCCTACGCTTGAGRCCAGAGGCTTGGCGTAAAAACAAATCGATTAACGGAAACGTCTCGCGGCTCTATAAAATATAGTAAGCAAAAGAATAAAAGACAAGCCTCTGGAACCAAGGGTAACGAATGTTTTGCGTCTTTCAGAATTGGTTGGATCGGCAGAAGAGTGGCCACCTGTTAATCGTAGGGATACCACGCTAGCAGAAAGGGCCAAGGAGCGCTAAGCGCTCTGTCGCAATACCATTTATAGACATAGTTTCATCGGAATTAAAGGCTCATTGTATGTGTCCTTGTGCCACAGGTTATCAAAAAAAACTTCTCAACGTTCTGAAAGAGAAATGGGACATATATTCTTCCGCCTCCTGGGGCGTTTGAAAGAGAGCTGTTTCTCAGGTAAAAGTATTGGAAAAGGCAAGCTAGCCATGGAAATGGTATTTTCTTTCACGATATACGTTTTCGCCATGCATGGTAACAGGATGGTTACTTTGGAGACAGACAGCATTTGCTGCCTATGGAACTCCATTCATGAAGGATGACGGAACCATCACAGTTTTGGCAGTAGATATCGTAGAGGACTTTAATGAGTGGGTGATGCATTCATAAAATTGCATATTTTTTAGGAAACAATGTACACACGGTAAACTCTCTATGTTGATAAAGACTAGCAACAATTCGAATGCAACAAGGTCAACAAGGCACCGAAAGCTTCGACAACAAATTAGTCGTCCCGATTTAGAAATCCGCAAATGAATTTACCAATCTGAATAATATAATTGGCATTTGCGTTCGACTTAAATTCGGAAATGTTTATTATCCCTCAGGAACCAATCAGTGCTGATGCACAGACCTCAAACATCTCGACCAGGCTTTGGTCTATTATGTTATTACAAAAATTTCCCCCCCTCCTCCATYTCAAAATCCTGGATCCGCACTTGAACAACATGCGGGTAATTGACAGGGAACTCTTTGAATACTGGCGTTCATTGGTGAATAATCTTACGTGCAACGGTAATTATCTTAACGATTAAGGAACAAAACCAGTAATGTAATAACTGTAACTAACTGGGGTTTGGCTTTTCACCTTTATATCCAATAAATCGCATTAAACGGTATATTTTGCGCTCATTTTTTAACTTTTTTAAATCTTTTGACACTCAAAGTGACACACTTACACGTCACTGGCTGTTGTGAAAACGTGGTCGTAAAGTGATTCCGGTGCCATCCATTTGATTGGAAGTTTCCGCTGTGCACGAACATGGTAGGCACTCTCTTCGTACACGTCACGAGTCAAGCCGAAATCTGTGACTTTCACTCGTTTGTCGTCTGCTACAAGAACATTCCGAGCCGCCAAATCACGGTGAACAAAGCCTTTTAAGGATAGATATTCCTTTTAAAGAAACAAATTTAATTTTTATTAGATTAGGGGTCATCATGCATGACTGATTCGTACCCAAAAGGTCGTATTTCCGGGTGCCAATTAAATCTAATATTTTCTACATCATCAGTCGATCTAGAGTCTCTAGTAGTATTGTAGATCAACATTGAATAAGTTTATGATAAATGAGGAATCCCGAATTAATGCTTTCATTATAAAGGATAAYTAGTATTTGTTTCAAAGCCCTTACCATTGCTGAGGCGATCTGATAGGCAAAGGATAATAAATCCTTAGGAGTAATGTTGTCATCTTCTACGTCTTCGGCAACATTGGAATTTCCTTCTTGCATAATGTCTTCTTGTTTCGCCTCGTCTTCAAAACCAGTATTCAGATGAGAAAGCCTCCTCACGTATCGGGTTTGTAACTGGAAATAGAACAAAGTAAAGCCATTAAAGCTGAATAAAAGAAT